ATCAATTGCAACAATCGTAGAGATAAAAGGGGAATGAAAATGTGAGAGACGCCTGCACGTCAATCGAATGTTAAATAGTCGTGAGGGCATACCGATCTCTGTTCTTTCTCGCGTCATTTCTTCTTACAATTAACAACCTCCTATTGCAAACTATGTGTCTTTGATCGGCACTTGGCCATCTTGTATTATGCGTGTCGATTGTGCAACATAATCGATACATATATATATATATATATATATATGACGTACATATTCAAATTTTAATAAAATGAAATTTTATCTGAAATCAATGAAGCACATTTATTCGTTTTTCCTTTTCATCTAATAAGTAAATCAATTAAAAGAAAGAATTTTCTTCTTTGACAAATTTATTATTATAAAATTGCAAAAATATATAATTGTATATGTATATTATCTATATATATTCGTACATTTTCACTTAAATTTCAATTAAATTAAGTTTGCCTATTCTTTTCGCATAAGACAGCTCTGAATGGATGTTTCTTATTACAAAATGATATATATACGTATAGCTAACAATCCGATTCTTGACATTAATTATGAAATTATCTAATTATAATCTTTCTTGTGATATGGTCTGCTCTTTCAGAAGAAATTTCAAGATTGTCAAACTTGAAGATTCCGTGGAGACAAAAGTTGTAAAGATTAGCTTATCATGATTAACGGAAAATCTACTCAGTTGTGTTTAGATAGAAGATTTCAGATAGAGGCCCCTTTTCATCAATATGCATTACCTGAATAATATAATGATAATGAAATATAAAATATGTAGATGAACATAATGCGATATAGACATACGCATATAAATAACACTATAAAATTCGTCTTCCGTTCTAATGCCTATTTAGCTTCCAACTATTATCTCAGCGGATACGTGACCTTAATTCTTTTTATCTGATGGTTCGTATCCTCCCGTCGTGTAAATACTGTATAAGTATACTAGCGATCAAGTATACTTCTGATCGAAGCATTCTTTGGTCATTCGCATATTTCTCGTTATGAGACGCAAGATCGCATCTTTCTTCATCAATTCATCTTTTTCGTATATTGTTCGTTCACATTGTTGATCGAATTATTATTATAATATATTACTTCTGTTTCATAGCGAGAACGAGTTACACTTTAGTTCGAGATTCTGCAGAATCCGTAAATTCGTGGGCGCAATGTGAAACGGCTATCAAGGAGATCAGGCGAGAAGACCGTGCGACAATCACGGACGATAGTCCCTCCAGATTATATTCTACGTGGCTCTCTCAAGAGTAATTTTGTGTCTCTTTCTTACAAATTATGTGAAAAATCTTT